TGGATTGGCCACTTCGATTTCTGACCATTCCCTTGTGAGTCAGTACTCAGTACCTCGCTCGGTTCTTGCTTGTTAAATCTGGATTTTCTGTTCAGTTTGTCGCTCAGAATACTGTTTTTTGTTTCGAAAAAGTAAGATTTGATTTTTTGGATAAGGTAGGTCATAGTCGTGAATCCGATTTCACACCATCGTAAATTGTTACAATGCTAAAATCAAGTGATTATCTCTTTACTTTTCATCGCGAGACGCGTGCTTTGATGTTTGCTTTGAGCGTGTTCAATAATCAATTAGCAATGCCACCGTATACGTACTAAGCAACATTGCTTTTTCCAAAAAATCCTATGCTGACTCATTGACAACGCCAGGTGTTATTTAAAGAGCAGCTTACAATTTTACTTTTGTAGTACTGGTGATCCGCAACCAAACTTCGTTAAATTTGAACAGATTATTTTGATCAAAATTAGAGTAATTGCATTGACGGAGCATTGGCATGAGGCAAGACTACCTCCATTCTGCATAAATCGTTTTAATTTTAGATTTGAAGCAATTGTGAATATGTGCAACCCTATCGACTTGGTATCGGAAGAAGAACTTCGGGAAGTGTTCGATGTGGTCAGGCGCAAATGCGATGTGGGGGTAATTACGAACTAAATGAAAAATAAAACACAGTATTAGATCTGAGGGGACAGCGTTGATCTACTCGCATGATACATTGCCTTTTTTTGGTTACCTTTACGAAATCGTCTACTCGTTGGCAAAGCATCTTGCTTTTGTTTGCTGAGATTGTGTAATTCACTGTCTCGGAAACGTACCCCTCAGTATTGTTGATCTTTGTGGATGGTTAGCTATAACTTTTGGTAGCAATTTTTCCCATAGTTGATCTTACTTCCCTAAAGAAGGATGGTTTTTGGAGAAATAGTTCAAGAGTGCCGCCTATTGTAAAGTTACAATGGGGTTTGCATTTTGATTAGTTTAGAAAGTATAATCATCGAATCTTGAAGGAAATGTTTTTATTGATCAAATTTTACTTTGTTTTTAGAAATTATGTATGCAAAACGATGACATTGATGAAGTCGTTTTTGGATTGATGTCGGTAATGCTTGATTTGCCTGTTATTTATGCCCAGCATGGTTCCACATAGGATCAGTTTGCAGTTGCAACCTGCAAAAGAAAGCATTTCTGGATGCGCTGGATTCAAGCAAAAAAAGTCGGCTAAATCTTGCAGAAAGAAACAGAAATGCATCGAAAACCAAGGAAGCGCGTTGCGAGATTGAGCCTGTGTGGAATCAGCTGGTTGATAGACCTGTTAGTGAATCTCTTAGAGTCAACTTTGTTGATGTCAAGGGAAGCTCGGATACCTGCCTTCCATTTAGAACTCGGTTATGCGCTGTATTTCCTCCCTTTCGGCTGTTGGGATAGCTTTGAAAAGCGAATTGAATTTTGGCGCTAATTCATACCGACTATTTACAGATCGATCAGGTAATCATCGAGGAGCCCATCGAGCAGACTGCAGGTGCAGGCGATGCGGTAGATTCGAACGGTACACAACCCAAAACGCGTAAGAAAGTAAGTTTTTTTGGTTGTTAGGATCTTTACCATTTTGACAAACATCGTGAGATGTTTTACACTTCATATTTTGAGCACACATTACACAAGTATCGAGTGCCAACAGGTAGTGCTTTCCGAAAAAGCTTCTTTGCATTCTTTTTCTAAATAGATTTTACATACATCTCTACTCATTAGCCAACGCACATATTTGTGGACAACTTGTTATAAAACTCAATTAGAACTTCGAATTGTTGACAGAGAAAATGCGCGAAAATTTGCTAACAAGGAGCAGAACAGTATTAGGAAGTACACGGTTTGATCAGTGGTTTGAGGAGAGGGCTGAGAGGAACGTTAGCGCATTTTTAAAGTTTGGAATTTCCTATTTTCATGGCTAACTGGTCTTCTACGAATGGTCGGTGCACTTTTTCAGTTTATAAGTTGAAATATAGGACATTTTGGTGTCTGCTATACATATGGATATAAACTTACAAAATTCTCTACTACAGATTCATCCAGAAGCAGTTCCGCATTTTCGTACTGAAATCTTGGCTCAGCGTTATCGTTGGCACAAAGAAACAGAAGCAATGATTATTGCTCGAATGCCATTCGAGGACCAGGTGGGTTAATATTGCTTCACACTGAGTCAGATGTGCAATGTTTTGGTGTTCAGATAAAAAGACCTTACTTCCACGTGAAGCCTCTTGAATGCGAGCAACTGAAAAATTGGCGTCTGTACCTCGATTTCGAGATAGTCGAGGGAGATGAGCGAAGAATTACCGTTCTGTTCGAGCGGTGTCTCATCGCATGTGCATTGTATGACCAGTTTTGGACTAAGGTTTGTGTTGAAATCCAGCTCAATTTTGTCTTTTAATTTGTTACGATATTTGCAGTATGCTCGATGGACGCAAAAACAGCGCGGTGCTGATGCGGCCCGTGAAGTCTATCGTCGAGCTCAACAGCACATTCCAGGAAATGTTCGCGTCGCCCTCGCCTTCTCAGCGTTCGAGGAGTCTCTTGGTATGAAGAAATTTTTCGATTTTCTTTTACCCATTTGAACTAGGAGTAGGATCTTATTGCTTGGAATAGCGTTCGCCTCACTTAGGAAAAATTGCAACCCCTAATGTGACACTCTAGTATCTAGTTTCCAGTGATTTGACTTGTGTATTGGCAAGTTTATCGCCACTTACCATTGATGATGATTGGTTCTCTCTTGAGGCGTCACATGAGGGGCGGGGATAGTATGTCTGAACCACGCGTCTCGGTACGAGCTGGATCTTCTGACAAGAATCCATCCTCGCAAAGGAAGTGATCATTGTGATCTAGTGATTCAATTGAATGCTTGTACAAGTTATGACGTAGAGTAAAGTATAGAGTAGACATATCCGACTTCGTGACTGGTCCCTGTCTGCCGTCTCACAGGTGTAACATTCAGGTATGTGAGATTTAAATTTTTTGTTCCATGCGATCTGCAAGCTTTGATTTGTCGTAGAACAATTTCCGTTCGACGGAAGTCGAAGTGCTTTTGCTTATATCGATGTGAATG